GCTGCAAGGAAAAGATGTCTAAGCGGTTTCTTGCTCCCCCTACTGGCCAGGAGAATTAATTAAAAAAAAAAAAAAAACACACAAGGGCTTATGTAAACATGTCTCCTGTTTTCATTCAACAAAGCGTGAACCTGCTGACCTGTCCTTGGCCTCTGCTGCAGATGCGGCGTCTGGCATCGTGTCTGAGCCGACGGAGTCCAGATTCTCCTGAGTTGGGCCGACTCCTGCGGGCTCCGGTCCAGACGCAGGAGGCTGAGAGATAACATGGCTTTTTGGGTCCACAGGATCGACGTTGCACTCCGCAGAGCTGCACGCAGAAAGACAAACATTTGTGCTGAACGACTAAACATCAGGTGAACTTAATCTACTTATAGATATGATTGAGGCCATTAATCATTAAAGCAGCGGTGAACTTGGGACAGAAAAAAGCAAATATTATGCAATGAAAGAACTGGTAAACTATGTAAGTACATATATAGATGTTTATTTCAGCTCTCATATGGAGTCAGGTCTTTATTCTCACAGCAGTTTACTTAAAAGTGAGATATAATAGCATATTAATCCAAATATATCCTCCCACAGATAAAAAAAAATAGTTTCTAAAGAACATTCGACTCTGGAACTGGGAAATATTTATAATATCCAAAACAAACAAACAAAACAACTGAAACAACAATAATTGAAATGGTATATGAAGACACAGGAACCAAAATTGTGTTTAAAAAATTATTAATCATGCAGCTTAGACGGGGAAAGCAGGAAAAAGTGCCAGTTTGGACTTTTGTTGAAAAGAAAATGCTGCAAACATTTGTTGCGCGAAGTAAAAAGACTATCTCTTCAGCGATATTAAAGGGGAGCATCTCTAACAATTGTTGTCCAAATAGAAATTAATTTATTATGTGATTAATTGAATTATTGACGGTTTTCTTACACTTCACTTTTGCAACATAATATCTGAAAACTCAGTGTGTGAAAACCAGCAGAAACCAGATCCGGTTACTGATTCCATCCTGACTAAAAGGTTTAAAATACAAACATGGACTAAATGATGTTCCCATGTTAACCTACTAGCTGGCAGCGTCCGTGTTTGTCTCCTGGCTGACCGCAGAGGTGGACGCCTCCGGAGCGCTTGGCTCTGATAACGCCTCATTATTTCGTGTGAACTCCTCCGACGGTTTGGCCTCGGCACCGATGGCAGCGTCTCCTCCGGAACCGGCGTGAGAAGCCCTCGCCGTATTGTCCTCTGTTGGCCTGTTTGACTCAGGAGGGGGGAGGTTTTCTGGAAGGGCAGATTCGGGTTCTGGCGAGACGGGATCCGAGACGTCCTCCTGCCCTGCGGTTAGACTTTGTTTTTCTGTTTTCAGCTCTTCGGCGGCGGCCAAAGCTTCCTGGGCGTCAGGTGCAGAGATGTTTTCCTGCGTCGGATTTAAAGTGCGTTGATCTGCAGCGGCATTTTTCTGTTCCTCACGTTGCGTGCCGGCGGTGCTGTCTTTGCTTGGCGAAGTGTTTGCCTCCTGAAGGCTTTCAGTTTGTAAATGTCCATTTCCCTGAGTGGTGTCGGATTCTCTGTGTGTGTTCGGTGGCTCCTCCTTGGTTTCCTCAACACTGCAAGACATACCACAGAATGAGCGAAGCCCCAGAACACAACAACACCCCTGAGACCTCCAGAAAAGCACAAATAAATGAGCAGCATGAGAGAAAGCTCTGAGGATTCTCCCGAATCTGGAGGTGGAGAGGAAGCAGAAAACTTTCGATCACTGCAGCCACTTTTTAATGATCATTTCTTGACATTTGTCACCAATTCATGAAATGACGCGACTGTTTCTTGTTGACAAACCCTTAAAGGACAGGTGGAAGTTCCCCCGGCCCTGTTTGCGCCCTCTAACGGGATTTAAAAGTTATTTGTTGATGCAACCCGTCCCACGGATACCACAAGGGGAAATTTGTCTGGTTCCCCTGAAGTTGGCCAGCCATGTTTTATAGATTTATTCACTAAGAATTCACTAAGCAAACAAAACCGAAGCGAGAAGAAGCTGACTCTCACCTCGTGTCTTCGCCGTTTTCTGGACCACAAGTACCAGCACCCGAGGCCTTCGAGTCGTCTTTCAGCAAACCGTTTCGTTCCTCCATGCTGCCGCAGGGAAGTTCAGCTCCAAAACAACAACGGTTCCCCATCTGCTCGGGGGGCAGGCAGACCCGGAGTTTTACGAGTCCATGGCGGAGGGGTTCAGGGTCTCAGGAAGAACCCATGGTGCTGCAAGGTGAATGTAGAGACACCTACAAGCAAAACATGAAGCATCAGCGACAGGAGAATGAGATGGATCAATTCGTGCAGCACAACGCTGCTCTAATTCAGAAGTTCCAGATTATTTAACGTGCAAGGACACATGTTTTAGATGCATCTTCTTCAGGCCACATGAGTCACATGACTGCATTACTTCCTCAGCACGCGGCAGGAACCTGTTACTGACAAATTAGGCCAGGTGTTGCAGAAAGGAAACACCTAAAGCATGCAGGACAGAATGGGTACTGAGGAACATAATACCTCACTGTGTGAAGTATTATTTTTAGATATAAACTCACTTTAAAATGCACCCAACTGTGTGTGACTCAGCCGCTCTTGCTGCCAAGATTCCTCTCAAGTCAAGTTTATGTGTACAGCTCATTTCAGCAGTTCAAAGTGCTTTACACCATAAAACATAATACAGGAACCAATTACAGGAACATTACATTTTGACACATGCCTTCACCGTGAAGATATTAAACAGGAAGTGTCCCAGGATTGAACCTGGGGGTACTCCACATGCAACTTCTGTCTGCACAAATTAAAAATGACCTACTGACACAAACAAGTCTCCGTTCTTATTTCCAGATAAACTGAGGAACATTGCGGCCATCGAAATCACACAACCCAAAAGCAGCTTGAACAACCAAAATAGCATTTCTATGAGTATTTGCAAAACTAATCTTATCAGATTTCCTGACATTTGACTCATGGCCCACACAGTCATATCCTTGAGCCTTCAGAAACCACACTTGCATTAAAAAATCTCGTCAATATTCTTCTCTATTTTGAAGTCTAGTATTTAAATTGATTATTAAAATCCCAGTTTAAAACACAAAAGCGATTTTAACACCTACAGCTAGGCGAGACAACTCGGATCAGTCAACAAATACCTCAGATTCTTGTTTATGTTCACGAATTAAGAAGAACACCTGATAAAGCTGCGCCTCATTGTTAATATCAACCCAAGGAAGTAGCATGTGTATCACAAGCAAGGCAAACTTAACAGAATCCACCTGTGTTGGAAAACTACAGTAATTATAGGTGAACTTACCTTGTTTTTGTTAAACTGGAGATTAAACGCCAAACCCTCAAAATCATGAAGCTCCAGTTCTTGTTTCACTTTTACTGAGCGGAGTTAGCCAGCTAGCTGCTGTGAACTTAAAACACAAACACGAGTGACAGCAGCTCATTTAAACCGCAGCTGCCACAGTGGGTAGCTCTCCTTTCCAGCGTGTCACCGTCCGTCAACACGGAACATTTCTGAAAACATCCGTATTCCCCGTATTTTGAACGGAACATCTGCTCACGATGATCCCTAGCTTAGCCGGAGCAGCAGGTCATGGCTCTTGTGATGCGCTGCTCGCGACAAGCCGGATCTTTGTGTCGGCTCGTTGAACTGAACGATCTGATAAGTATGGATTTGGAAGTCGTATAACAAAACAAGCAAAACCAGTCCCTTACATTTTTAGTTTCTGCTTCTGGTAGCTTCCTTTATGTGTCATCGGGGAAGAGTATCTGCCATCTTTTAACTGTGTCATGAGCAATCTCCACTACTTTCACGAACGTTTTCTAAAGCACATTGTATTACAAATTGTGTTTGTTAAGCACACATTTAGTGTTCAATAACATTTCTCACAACATCAGGTCCTTTATTCTGTTCTGATAAGAAATCTTCCATTTGTTTATTCCACCATGAAAAAGAAGATAATTCATTGTATGTGGTGTCCAGAAGAAAAACATTAATGGGCAGCATTACAAATGAATAAGTTCAATTTTTTTTTTTGCTTCTTTCTAATGTGAGATGAAAATCAAATGTGTAAAAAAATATATCTTACCACCTTTCATGATGGAAGTATGTAAAAGTAGCTCTGATTTATTCTTTTTGGAGACTTTTGTTTATTTGTTAAAGTGTTGCATGTTTTAACTATTATTCCCTCTGGTTTCGGATGCTGTGCAGATTAAAGTAGTTTTACTCTTACTCTTTTACATTTTGACTATTATTTCAATGTATAATTGTCTCAAAATCTTAAATAATACATGAACTATGACCCCAAACCTCAGAAGAGTTGAAAATGAAGCTTCTTGGATGCAGAAGAGGACCAAAGATCAGAGAGAAAAAGATCAGCCACTCTCTTCCATTAATCATAATGGGCAAGGATCATATCTTCCAAGTCCCTCTGCCTGTATTTCTAACTATACGACCAGAATATATTTGTGTTATACATATGTGTATTCAGAGATGCTAAATAAATAACAAAAGCAGTTTTAGCTTTGAAAGCTACAAAGGGTGTGGGATCCAGAATTTCTAGCTCTTTTGACTAAGATAGGCCAGATTATTCGGATCCAAGCAAAGAGCCGGAATTCCCATCACTACACCGCTTGGTTAGAGCGCATGACGTCATAGTCGTGTACGCCGACAATTTTGCTGCAGCCAAGCAGCTTTTGGAAAACCCGCCTGCTCACAGGTGCATGTTCGTTCATTTGTTAATATTACATTAAATAAAAACAGGAAGACAGTCATAAAATTTTTTAAAAAATATGAAATAAAATAGTTTTATATGGTTTTGAATTTTTATTTTTTTAAATATTTATAAAAATTCAGGATGGATTGAAAAAGTAAACAATCCTCTCAGTGCTGCCTGCTTTGTCCAGATGACAGTAAATTTGATTTTGTAACTTTATAGCTAAATTTTACATAGAGAACACAGCAAAATTGTGGTAAACATTGTTTTTTTATATTCAAAACTTTCCAAAATAACTTAGAAAACCTGTTAATGTACAGTATTTACATGAAACTTATTTCAGTTTTGTGTAGAAAAGTCTCTCAATCCTGGTCAGATCACAGCAGTTCAGGTATTGTCACATGTTCCTCAGCTCCTCTATGTGGCTGATCAGTTCCTGCGGCAGCTCCAGCTCTGAAGCCAGATCTATGCAACGCTGCACGAGGAGGTCCAGACCTCCAGCTGACCCCGAGGCGGCACAGCCGGACTCACAGCGGAGATTCTGCTGAGTATGAGAACCCTGCAGGTCCATTTTCTGTTCACTCCTGCAGAAGTCCGTTTCTTCGCAACCTGCGGGTTTCACCTCCAGATCCTCCATGCTCTCAGAGACGTCGCTCACGCTGGGAGGAGGATTCTCCAGAGTTTTCCTGATGCCGTCGATGATTCCCTCTTGGTGCTGCGTCACTTGCTGCAGGAGGTCGATCAGACGGGACGGGACGGGCTTTTCTGGATGCTGGACCTGGTACCAACACCATACAGCGCTGCCACAAAGAGGACCCAGAGTCAGAAATACAATGACACAAAGAACAGAGCAGGACAGGATTCAACTGTGGAGGGAGAGACTTCTATCACTGCAAAAACAAAAGAGACTCAGGATGTTTCTAAATGAAAATGAAGCTTTGACTAAAGAAAGCCAAAGTCAGAATTCAGGGTTTTTAATTATCTAGCTAAACCCGTTATTTATCCCTGTTGGACCATTTATGCAACCAAACTTCAGTGATTTAATTCTGAAGGCATTAAAAGTAGTTAAAAGCTTTCATAAAAGCCAAAAAGTTGAAAGGAATTGTATCAAATCTAAAAAATGATTGGTTTTGTGTAAACTTCTGATTATAATATTATTAAGTCTGCGCACAGGTCTCTTTATCTTCTTCAAAATCCATCTTTTTCAAGATCTCTTTCTCTTTCCCACTGTTTATTCAATGTCACATGCTGTTTTTATTTTAATTATGTAAAGCACTTTGAAATGCCTTGCTGCTGAAATGTGCTATACAAATGAAATTTGATTGATTGATTGATTGATTGATTTATATCAAAAAGTGAATCTTTTTGGGAACAGAGTCTGCGCAGAAGACCCCGCGAGAGTTCTACTGCAGTATTCAGAAACCTTTAAGGAACATTCCTGATATCTAGTGTATCCCATCTATCAAATTTGTTTAATATTCTTACCTCACAATGCCTCTGAGTCGACCCACAGCCACAGTCTGAGCTGCTCCTTCTCTGAATCCCATGTTAAACCCCATCTGAAGCGAGGCCTCCTCTCCGGCATTCACTCCGTCCACATAACCATCCTGTTCAAAACATCCAGCAGTAAAAAACAAAACATAAAACAACCATCAGCCATGAAGTCAGAGAAGCACACCACAGTCTCAGCTCGGAGAGCTGAGCTAAAGCTAACTTCACCTTGATCCGTTTCTTCATGTTGGATGCCCACTCTTTACTCTGTAAATAAAGATCGTCCGCATTCTCGTCGAACACGTCTTCAGCGTTGGACGACGCAGCTTTTACCCAAGACATCACGAAATCTGCTTAAAAGCCCGTGTTTCTGTAACTTCCGACGTTTAAAACGCATCTGAAGAGCCGGTGGTGTAGAGGCAGATTTAGCTACCTCAGCAATCCTTTATCGGTGACGTCAAAAACTGTTGCTGATTTTCTTTTTTATACCGCCATCTGCTGGACTGGAGTGGAGAGGCAGACTATATTCAACAGAGAAGGAAAAAAAAAGAAGAAAAAAAGAAAAAAGAAAATAAAGAAAAAATAACTACTTTTGTAAAAGAGCTTGGTTATTGTTTTAACTTTAAAAAGTCTATCTTTATTTATTTATTAAAATGGTTTTGTCGATATAATGTACCCCAAAATACCAATACTAGCTTTACAGGAATATACCAAAGTCCACAAAACATAATAAAGTCTGAATAAATAAAAATGGAAATAAATGTAAAAAACCCTAAATTTCTTTAACTTTGAATCGCATTTTCTATATTCTTGTTTCATTCTGATTTTTAATTTCATTGTTTATAATGACATATTCCTCATTTAAAGAATTCCAGTTACCTCTTTCTTATCGCCAATCTAAGTCAAGCATCAGCAATCTCTGCAAAATTATATGTATTTTTTTTTGTACTACAGACATTAAAATCTGCCAGTTCTATTTATACCGATACTAATATTAATTCTTTTAAAGTGCAATAGTCTAGCTTTTGGGTTTGGTCAGTGACTGTGACTGATAAAACCTGCAGGGGACGCTGCAGACTCACTTTAAAAACGAACGAGTTTCAGCATTAAATGCTGTTAAGAGATTATGTATTAGTTCCTTTAAGTTATATTAGTTCCTCTTTCTTTTAAATCCTCCAGATGTTTTTATTTTTATTTCATGTTAAAATGTTGCTAGATTTTTTTTTGCGTATTTATTAAAAGTTATTTATTTATTTACACTTTTATCAGACACAAGATTTTGAAAAAGCACAATTTAATTTCCCATCATTTGTAGCCGTTTTAAAGGAAAAAATTAGGCATTTGGACAGTTTCTAATTAATTCATACTTTAAATATCTGATTAAAATAACATTAAGTTGTTTACATTTCTTGCTTAAGAAAACAATAGAAAGTCCACAGTGTAAAATAAATGTACATTTCATTGAAATGAATGTAAAGTGTTTTAATGATTTAATAGTGTATAAGAAAAATAAATGAAAGTACACTGATTTTCTTCTTTGATAATTTCTCATCTAAAAACATGTTCTAAGAAAAATCATTTTATATGCAGCATTGTTTTTATGTCCAACAGATTAACAATGTAAGCAAAACAATGAATGACAAATAAATTGAGTTTACGTTTCCATGAGAAATGTGCTGTTAGAGCATCAGGAGTATAAATGGTCTGCTCAAATCACCGTCCAGTGCATCTTCTGCTTAACTTTTCAACACAGGGAAATGTCATCTGTCATGACAAACACATTATTCACTCATCAATAATGCATCCTGTCCCCTTCCCCCCCCCCCCACTGTTCAGTACAGAAAGAGTGGAGGAAAAAAATCCCTCTTGCTTTATTTTTTAAGATTCTCTCATTCCTCATGCCAGGCTTTATGGAAAAAAAAACAAAACAAAACAAAAAAAAACACAGGAGAGAGTGGACGGACGCTAAAATGCATTTCACCTCGGCGGAGTGCATTTGCAGCTGCTCGGACAACAATGGCCCTGAGAATACAAGGAGGCCACAGCGGAGTTGTCCCTGTTCTGGAAATGGAGTCGGCCCGCAGGCCTGGTTCGCGGGCGCCACACCTTAAAGTCCACCTCCTCCAAACCCCCCCCGCCCTCGCTTTGCTTTGGAGAGTCAAAACAAGCAGCCGGGGCAATCACCTGACACATTTCCATCCAATTTCCACTGCAGAATGTGTTCATTTTCAGCCTAATGGCATGTCATTTTGCAGGAGCCTTTGGTCAAGAATTAATCCTGGAATCAAAACAGATTTTCCGGGGAGCAATCTTCCATCAAGTATTGATTTTTTTACACTCACGGAGCCTGTACTCCCTAATTTAACCTGACAGCCAGCAGCACAATGGACTGGGAGCACCTTGGCGTCTCGCAGAGGGAGCTCTCCTCCTCCTTCTTCTCTCCATGAAGCGAAAGAGAGATTGGGAAGAGGGTAAAAAGGACTCCCAGATGTCTAAAACAAAGAGCATTGCTTACAGAAAACAGAGATAAAGCTTCCGTCTCTCTGTTTTACCTCTAATTATGTTTTCAAGGGTAGTGCAACTTGGGCAGGTAAAGGCTGAGAGGGAAGTGGGGAGAGTGTTCTGGGGCCATCAGCTATCATTATGGGCCTGTTGACATCTCCCTGTCTTTGAGTGATTCTCATCTGTGATTTCCCCTGGCCATTTTCCACAGATGCACGAAGAGGGGTTTCATCATGGCGCCATAAAAAGGGCCCAAAGTGTCCGCACAAGCTCCCACTAATAAGAAAGCAAAGATGTGTCCGACCATGTCACTCCTCTCTCCCATCCATATCCGCTCTCTTAAAGCCTTCAGATATGCAATCATTCTCTTTTCTCCCCTTCTTCCTCTCTGTCTCCCTCTCCGTATGGGCTGTAAGTATACTATACCCTACGTTAGAGGTCAGCGGGATGAGAGGATGATGGAGGGCAGGGCCGGTTATTTTCCTCTAGCTCTTAAAGCTGCAATGACCCATGCGCAGGAGAGTTGCACTTTTGCCAAAAGGTTTTTCATGCGTTGCTTACAAACTGCCTAACAGGAGGGAAACTATTTCAGTTTTTATCCACTGCTCTTAACTCCTGATCAACCATTTCAGATAAAAAAAAATAAAAATAAAAATAAAACTGTGCGAGGATGTTACTCTTTGGTGGTTTTTATGGGTTTCTGTGGTTGATTTTAAGGTGATAAACATTCAATGACTGATTCCTGCTTTAGTCTAATGTTCGTTTTTCGTACTTGGAATAAATGAAATGAGTTTCTCGACTCAAAAAAAAAGTTGTCTTTTTAAACTGTGAAAGATTGTGAAATGCTCATAACTAAACTGTTCGTCAGCATTAAAGGTGATTATGTTATATAACATTTCCCGAGTTATGAATCTCCATCAGATGGTGTTTGAATTTTGATTCTTTCTTTGTTTATTCCTATCAGTTTAGATTCTGTTCTGTTCGCTGTATTAATTATTGTTCAAAAGGTCTTGCCATATAAATTCATTCCTTTGTATTTCATTTTTGGGTTTTATCTCTTAGCGTTATTGTTTCCTCCTTGGTTTGTGGTTTTCTTTTACTCTCTGTTATATTCCAGTGTAATGAAAGATTTTTAAAATATATTTCCTGTATCCTTTTCCTAATAAATTAACTTTGTACTGTGTGAAAACTCTGCAGTCAAGAAGGTGCATGTCTTGAACTTTCACCAAACGAAATAGACAAATATAAAGTCCGATATAGGAAGTTTACGTTAAAGAGATAAAGAAGTATAGGTCTCATGAGTACTCATATTGAAAATGGGATATTTGTGATCAGGATTTTAACAAGCCAGCTTAGGTTTTGACTAGGCCTGTCACAGTAACAGCTTTTACTGAACGATATAAAATGCCTCAGAAGTTATTCCGATAAACGATGATATTGTTGTGTGGAGACCGTTTTCAAGTATTAAAATAATAATGGCAGTTAACACTGGAACTGAAAGACATTTTAAATATCCAAAATAAATAAACAAAACAACAAGAAATATTAATTATGAAGTCTCTGTAAAGAAACAAACAAACAAACAAAAAAACACCAGACTGAAGACTTTTATCATTCAGTTTTTGATAGAAAGAAAAGAGAAATTATTAAGCTCACTTTATTTTGTAATATGATTAACTGATTTATTGCCTCCTTTTGGACCCTGAGGTGCAACTAATCTGGATTTATATTAATCTGCTGCAGCTACGACAAAACCTCTCTTCAAGTATTCTGTACATGTAAAGAGAACTTTTAAACTGAACTGTTGCTGATTGTTATTTCTGTTGAAGACTGAAGGTAGGTGTGCAGCTTCTCCTGTGTTGCGATACTTTTGGAAGATCTTCCTGTTGCTGCGTGAAAATAGAGACATCACACGCTAAAGACGTGCATTCAAAAACCCGCCCGCTGCAAAGTTAAATGGACTATGGGCCGATGCAATCAGCTGCTCAAGTCAGACAGGTGTCTCTGTAAAGAGCCGGGCTATTAACTCCTCCACCTGCATATACGTCACTGTGTGTCATTGCTAATAATGCTGGAAAAAGGCATAAAGAAAGAGAAACAACAGTGAAAGTAAAGGGGATCATATGCATGGCCGACCCCGATTGCATGTGAGGATTGGTAATTGCACCCCCAGAGGCATCTGGGTGTGCAGAGCAGCAAAGTGGGAGACGCCTGAGCAGCTCGGGCTTCACAGCCAGCGTAGCAACATCTCAACCCCGAGGAGGAAGTGAAAACAAGAGGGCGGAGGAGCGGAGGGTTGAGGGATATACAGACAGTTCATTTACCCAGAACATCAGCCCCGCCGCACATTGTCTGAAAGATAAGGAAAGCGAATGCTTCATGCCTGATGGAAAACAAAGGCAGCAATTTAAAACCATCTGCATCCAACACATGCACTCTCTTCCTCCACCCTTCTGTTTCTGTGTCCTGGCTGATATTGAAACATAATCCATTTGGAGCGCCGACATGTCATTATATTTCCACCCGGTCTCCCCTCTCTCCATCCAGGACAATTTCAGGTGGCTGCGGGTTGAAAACAGGAATGTTTCATTTCTACAAGTCAGACATTTGGATTCTTCAAGGAAAACACAGACAGGGAAAAAAAAAAGAAAAGGGGAAAAAAAGTGGAGTTTAAATCCTTAAAGTGAGCTTAGCTACTCCTCTTAGCTTCTGCAGGTTCAGGGGAAGAAAAAAAGAAATCCACAATAAATCACAAAGATTCAGAGATCAAAACTTGTCTTTTCTGCTCTGCTGTCTTCCCTAAAAACATCACACATCACAAAGGCTTTGGTGCAGCCCTCAAACTACTGTAGCTCTTAGATCTCTGATGAGTAAAGATAGAAAGTGTAGGTTTTCCAAGACAGAGTTTTCTAACTAAACTTTATGTTCTACTTCGCCTTATGTATTTATTCCGTGTTTTATGCTGCATTATTTCTAC